GGAAGACTATTAATCGAATTGTCAATTACTGTGCTATATTAAGAGAAATCTAAACAATCTTTTTTCTACTCGATAATCCCAAAGGAAATTATCATTGAGAGTGATTTGTTGGTTTCTCAGCACGACTGTAATAGTTAGTTAGCTACTAAACAATTTATTAAACAGTTAACTGTAAATTGTAGACTTTCGAAAATTACAAAATAATGACCGGTACATAATGTGATAATAGTTAACTTTACAAATCCCTCTGTTAAAAATGAAAACCTAAAATGTTAACGTAAAAAACTAATTAAAGTGAAGAGTATACCATTTATTTGGAATCGGTGGGAAATGTATCGAATTAACACGAGGAACGAATAAGGGTTAAAATACAATCTCCAAGTGATCGAAACAAAGGTACGCAATTATAGAACGGGTTACACGTTCTTATTATATTATATTATATTATATTATATTCCGAATATATATTATATTATATTATATTCCGAATATATATTATATTATATTACATTCCGAATATATATTATATTATATTACATTCCGAATATATATTATATTATATTACATTCCGAATATATGTATATTATATTATATTATATTCCGAGTCNATTCCGAATATATATTATATTATATTATATTCCGAATATATATTATATTATATTACATTCCGAATATATATTATATTATATTATATATTCCGAATATATATTATATTATATTACATTCCGAATATATATTATATTATATTACATTCCGAATATATGTATATTATATTATATTATATTCCGAGTCAAAACTGACTAGCAAAGGAATAGAATTATGGTTACGTTCGAATCTCGAACAATCGAAATTCTATTGTGTACAAAACAATGGTACTATCGAATTGGAATCGGTATGCACGTTTCTGCATACATACCTCGTCGATTCTAGTTAGCGCGAACACGCGCCGAAGCACACGAAACTGACGAATTTTCAAACTGAACTTCCACAACGAATTACATTCTACATTCTCGATCTATCTTGTACACGCGGTTGATAAAGCTTTCCCGCATTCACCGTCAGAAATAGAGAAACATCATATATTTCTTTAAATAGAAAATGATCACCACTCTTAATAATTTCGATAAATCAACAATAACATGCCACTGCTCGTAAATTCTCTTATCGTCTCGACGTTTTTGTCCGTGTTTCACCTTCTCTTTTCCGCCCCAACTACATCAAAAATCTGCGCAATTAGGTTAGATAAAAATCATTCCGGTTTTCTCGAAACACTATCGAATACATATATGTATTTAACTAAACCTTACCGAATGCATTCCACCGTATTCGGATCGATAATTCGGTACATGCTACACCGGCGTGCAAACGTGCAGTAAAAATGACACGAATCCTCTTCGCCGCTTATCGAACAGTAAACGGTAAACATTAAAGAACGCGACCGTAAACGGGTGTTTTGTCTCGCAGACGGTTCTGTTAACCTCGAGAATATTCGTTTCGCTGTGCAGGTAAACCGAGTCCAATTGTGCACCGTACGGAGACACAGCATGCGACATAGGAACAATCGGAATTTCAACTTACTTTGTGCGGAGTGTCGCTACTCGAACGGGGCACCGACGCCGACGTGAAACAGCTGTTGTAGATGAGAATCGTCTTACAGACGACAAATGAATAACCAGATTATCGGTTCGAACGTGAGGTATATCTGACGAGCGGTCGAGTCAGTTCGCATTCGTGAATAATCTTCAGTCGGCTGCCGCGTGATGGCCGCGTGTTCCAATGGGAACGGTGTTATTCCATTTCTGTGCAGATTTCAGCGGTATCGGTTGCTGGACGGGAATTAAATTGCACGCACGAACTGTCTCTCGTCCCGATTTAAAAACATTACTGATATCGTAAACTAACATTTTTGCTGCTTTATGCGTCATCTCTGCGATTTCTTTAACGCGTTCAGTGCCGAATGCCATCTCCGCAAAATTCCTATAATATTAAATTCATTCAATCGATGAAATCGTTTACAAGTAAGTTCAAATGCACCATAGTATCCTTCCGCGTTCCAAAAATCCTAGTAACATTCAATTCCTTCGAATGTATTGCAATAAAAATGGATTCCAGAACCCGATTCAGGTTAGTTGATTTTCATTTGATTTTAGAAATTATTCGAACAGTTTCTTCGAACTTCGTACAGGTGTGATTGCATGTGCATACCGTCGAAAATAATAGCCATGCTCTTATATTAACTTAAGGAATAGACAAGAAAGATCTGACAGGGACTATAGTGCGAAGTACAGTAAAATATCTTCGTTTTGCAGGTATGGGAGCTATGATTTGGATTTTTGATCGTTGTTAAGTTATTCTAAGTTTTATTTATATTCTTTTATTTCGTACGAAATTATTGCTTCATTTTATTGCTTTTATTTCGTACGAAGATCTGGTCACTGTAACTAAATGTAATTATATCGATTTACTAAAATATCGCGATTGTTGTCTATATGATACGACTGCAACAAATTATTGAAGATAGTAATTAACTTGAAAGATAGAATTTATATATATAATAATAATATATATCGTCGTATCATATATATATATATGAGATACGACGATATATATTATTATTATATATATAAATTCTATCTTTCAAGTTAATTACTATCTTCAATAATTTGTTGCAGTCGTATTATATATATATATATGATACGACTGCAACAAATTATTGAAGATAGTAATTAACTTGAAAGATAGAATTTATATATATAATAATAATATATATCGTCGTATCATATATATATATATGAGATACGACGATATATATTATTATTATATATATAAATTCTATCTTTCAAGTTAATTACTATCTTCAATAATTTGTTGCAGTCGTATTATATATATATATATGATACGACTGCAACAAATTATTGAAGATAGTAATTAACTTGAAAGATAGAATTTATATATATAATAATAATATATATCGTCGTATCATATATATATATATGAGATACGACGATATATATTATTATTATATATATAAATTCTATCTTTCAAGTTAATTACTATCTTCAATAATTTGTTGCAGTCGTATTATATATATATATATGATACGACTGCAACAAATTATTGAAGATAGTAATTAACTTGAAAGATAGAATTTATATATATAATAATAATATATATCGTCGTATCATATATATATATATGAGATACGACGATATATATTATTATTATATATATAAATTCTATCTTTCAAGTTAATTACTATCTTCAATAATTTGTTGCAGTCGTATTATATATATATATATGATACGACTGCAACAAATTATTGAAGATAGTAATTAACTTGAAAGATAGAATTTATATATATAATAATAATATATATCGTCGTATCATATATATATATATGAGATACGACGATATATATTATTATTATATATATAAATTCTATCTTTCAAGTTAATTACTATCTTCAATAATTTGTTGCAGTCGTATTATATATATATATATGATACGACTGCAACAAATTATTGAAGATAGTAATTAACTTGAAAGATAGAATTTATATATATAATAATAATATATATCGTCGTATCATATATATATATATGAGATACGACGATATATATTATTATTATATATATAAATTCTATCTTTCAAGTTAATTACTATCTTCAATAATTTGTTGCAGTCGTATTATATATATATATATGATACGACTGCAACAAATTATTGAAGATAGTAATTAACTTGAAAGATAGAATTTATATATATAATAATAATATATATCGTCGTATCATATATATATATATAATACGACTGCAACAAATTATTGAAGATAGTAACTAACTTGAAAGATAGAATTTATGATTTAGGCCAAGGCAGTCAACGAATCAGATGTCAAATGCAAGAAAAGTATGAACGTGAAAAAACTGCTCGTAAGAAAACATCGTTCCAAGAATCAGAGCTGTTAAAACCCTTGATAAACTTCAATCAATGTCCC